TTTGGCATATTAAAGTCCGAGAGAAAGATATCCATAAGACCGCCTTCGTCACTCAACACGGTCATTACGAATGGTTAGTGATGCCGTTTGGATTGAAAAATGCTCCTGCTATTTTCCAGAGATCGATCCGTAACATCCTAGAGAAACATCAGTTGACAAAATTCTGTCACAACTACATTGATGATATCATTGTTTTCTCTTCATCTCTCCAAACTCATGTTGACCATCTCTCTCAACTTTTTGCTGCTGTTTCTGCTGAAAATATCAAATTGAACTTCGAAAAATCCAAGCTGTTCCAGACTAAAGTCAATTATCTTGGTCATTCTTTATCTCATGATTCCATCCAACCTCTTCATTCAAATATCGATTCCATTCTGAATCTTAAACCACCTAAAAATGTTTCCGAGGTTCGCCGATTCCTGGGTAAAGTAAACTACAACCGTAAATTCATCAAAAATATCACTGAGATTCTGGACCCAATTCATCGACTATTAAGAAAAGAAACTAAGTTCAATTGGACCGCTGAATGTCAAAAATCATTTGACCAAATCAAAAATTTATTCACTGCTGATCCCGTGCTGAAAATGTTTAACCCAAATGCTGAGCTGATCCTAGAAACTGATGCTAGTCGAGTTGGTCTAGGTGCTGTGCTGAAACAACCTGATGATGATAAGAAATTACATCCAATAGGTTATTTTTCCAAAAAGTTAACTAGTTATCAAGTTAACTATGCTGTTACTCACCTTGAATGCCTTGCTGTTGTAGAAGCTGTTAAATTCTGGCACCACTATTTGTATGATCGTAAATTCACTGTCATCACTGATCACGTTGCTTTGAAAGCGATTCACAAAATCAAATTACCAAATAGTCGGTTGTTCACCTGGTCACTCTTTCTGTCACAATACGATTTTGAAATCAAATATCGTCCAGGTAAAGAGAATGCTGAAGCTGATTATCTCTCACGAGATCCTGTAATTGCTGAACCAATTGATTATCCATTCAAACTGGTGAATTTTATCAACATTGCTGAACTTAAAGCTGAACAATCCAAAATTGCTGATATTGATTTACAAACCGCTGATGAAACTGGAATTTATTATAAAGTTGATAAAAATGGTAATCGAAAGGTAATTCTACCTGTTTCCCTAAGGCATAAGCTGATGGATACTGTTCACCAACAATTTGGTCATGTTGGGATCAGAAAAATGATAACAATAATAAGCTGGAAATACACATGGTCTAAATTAACTGAGGATGTGGTTAATTTTGTAAAGAGCTGTAATCCATGTCAATTGGGTAAAACAAGAAGGTCTAAACTGATTGCTGAAATGGGACACTTTGGTCCTGCTGAGAGACCACTCCAAATAATTGCTGTTGATACTATCTGTGGCTTAGATCGATATGGATCTAAGAAACGTTACATCCACTTTGCTGTTGACCATTTTACCAGATTTGTTTGGGCTAATGCCTCAAATCACCAAACCGCTGCTGAATTTATATCACTTATCAATAAAGTGATTGCTGATGGAAAACCTGATACCCTGCTGGCTGATAAATTTACCGCTATAACCTCCGCTGAATTTGCTGATTATTTGGCCCGAATGAATATTGGAATCAAGTTCATTCCCAAATCTTCCCCACAAAGTAATGGACTTTGTGAACGTGCTGGTAACACGATCATCGATAGGATCCGAATTAAAATGATCTCTAATAATTATCGCTATGGCTGGGCTAAGTACTTACAACGTACTGTTTTGAGTATAACCATACTCCACATGCTGTAACCCAATTTACTCCATTCTACCTGTTCAATGGAAGTAAACCTGAACACTGTGATGATATCCAATTTCCCGAATTAGATGAAGCTCGTGCACAAGCTTTCAAAATTCAATGGACCATCATCAACACAATGCTGAACTTTTTAATCATACACATGATGATTACCAATTTGCTGACAATGAAATGGTTTACATGAAAAACCTTGCTGGAATTAACAGGAGGAAACTAGACTCAAGAAGCTGTGGCCCCTTCCGAGTTATTGATAAAGCTGCTACCAACATTTATAACATCGCTGTCTCTGAATCACCGCTGAAAATTGAACAAGTCCACTCCAAACATCTTATGCCGATATCCAAACAAAAGATCAACTCCGACCAAACCTGAATTAATTATTTCCGCCGCTGAATACCCTTCCTTTAATCATGAGGGTGGGGATGTAATGTAAAGTTGATTTTTAGAGAAAGAAAAACCAAAGGATAAGAAATCCTCTTTCTCTTCCTCTTTCATTATTTCCTTTTCTCTTTCTTTTCACTTTCTTTCTTTTTAATTAATTTCTCTCTCTATCTCATCCTACAATTAATTAACTAATTGTTAATTTTAATTTTGATTTTGATTGTGATTATTGTTGTTGTTGTTAATTTTATTTTTGATCAATTGTTGTTGTTGTTTTTGTTAATTTTGATCAACAATTAATTTGATTTAATTGTTGATGTTGTTGATTAAATTTGATCAACTAAAATCAGTTAATCATTAGCTGATGATGGTGATGATTCAAATGATAAATTTTAAATAAAGATTTAATTGAATTTAAATCAGTTTTGATTTAATTAATTAATTTTCTTTTAGGAATCGAATTGGCTATTCCCATGGAAGTGAATTAATTGGAATTCATATTTAGTGCTGTGTTATTATTAATTGTAAGGACAGTGAGCGTACGCTCCTGACCAACAATTAATAGCTGTTGCTGAAAATTCTGGCTGAACTGTTTTCCCCGCTGAACATTATTATTAATTATAAGGATAGTGAGCTTAAGCTCCTAACCAAAAGTAATTAATAGCTGAAATTCCGACTGCAAAGCTGTACCACCGCTGAAACCCCATATTACTTTATATATATTAATAATAACTATCAAAGTAAAACTTTTCGAGAAAAATCAAATGAAAGTCCAAACTTTTCTCTCATAGGTTAGTATTATTCTGAGAGAAAGCCCTTTTGATCTTTAGACGATAATTGAGGTTCCAAATGATGGTTGTGTTTGCACAGCAAATAATAGTTTCATACAAAATAAAATCAACGTTATTTATTCTGACTGTAATTAGTTAAATCTACACATTAGTTTATCAATTTTACTTCTTATAAAAGAAATTCGCAATAAGAGTGATTTCCCATTGATAAAAGTCTAACAAGTGTGACAAAAACTATCATCATTGAATTTGTGATTTTAAACTGTTTTTAGCTAATTGGAAAATTGTATCATGAATTTGACAAAATATTATAAAAGTTTCATCTTCACCATTATGTTTATAACTGTTTTACCGATGACAGGAGGTGAGATTGGATATGGTCCGAGTAAGAGTGACGGTCCCAGTGTTGCTTTAGCTAGTGGAAGAGGTTCTGCCAGTATTGGTAAAGCTATGGATATGGCCTTTCCTACTGCTGTTGGGGACGCCATTGCAAATGAAGGCATGTAACATTATGGTCAATAAAAAACTCTAATCTGATAAATGTATCTTCTCTATTAAAGGTAAAACAAATCACAAAAACACGATAAGTTTCATCTCCGGAATAAAAGAAAAGCAATTTAGATGAATTTGAAGTTTTCCAATTGTTAGTAATATTTTCGTTGAAGATGTTGGTGGGCAGTTTTTTCGGACTCTCTTTCATCGAGAAGTATTTTGCGTTCTCTTTCGAATTTAGCGACCAAAACTTTCTCCTTTTCTGCGAGCGCCTTTTCAAGTTCTGTTCTTCAAGTTAATTACTTGTTTGTAACCAATTGACAATTTCTCCAACTGGATTGTATGATAACCGCTGCTTTAGTACACCATAAGTGTTGATAATGACGACGAGAAAGTAAATCACGGGCTAAGCTTTGTAATCTTAGAACAGAAGATTTTATCTTGATATAACGTCGACGACACATCCAACCTTTTATATTTCGTTGTAAGATTATTGCACATTCTCGAAGCCTTTCGGTTCGTATTCGTTCATGTAAAGCAACCCGACCAGAGCGGAAGAAGATCTTCGTTTTACCAGGTGATGTTGTTGAATCAGCTCGAACTAATTTCCTTGATCATGGGACTATTGTTGATGTTGTTTATGGTTAAATATTGGCACATATTTTGACAAACAAGTTGACAAAATCACGACGAGGTCAAATTACCTGCTTCAGATGAGTTTAACATTAAAAAAAAAGATTCAATTTAACATTAATGAAAACTATTAATAACTCTCGTGTCTATTGTGTGCAACAAAAACTTCTATTAATACAAACAGTCTATTTTCTTAGATGTACAAAAGTCAATGTGATTCAACTTTTCCGAGCTAAATCACAAGTGATTATTGAATTTGTAAAAATTCCCTCTCAGCCATTAGATTTGCGAGTTTATGAATATTTTATAACAATTAAATGGTGATTTATGCTGTGAATGCTGTGAAATGATGATGAATTGCCGCATTTCTAGGAAACAAACAAAGAGAGAGAGAGAAAACATATTAGTATTAATAGGTGAATAGGTAAGTGACATCCAAAGACTTTCAATCGTTTTAACAGTGATGTTCGAATGTAAAAAAGTTTCGAAAAGATTTAATCAGATTGGTAGATATTATCAACAGTCATGGAGTTGATGGAGTGGAGTCAACCACCTGATTCAGTTTATTAAGAATTAGTATCTGTGGTCGAAATTTTGGCTTATGGTGTTTATGTTGTGTTTGACAAGGCTCTGATTAGTGCTATCAATTTGAATAAAAGTTATGAAGATCAATTGTTCATCTTAATTTTAATCTAATCCCAGGTAAGATCTTTCTAGAAAGAAAACGAAAATGAAAGAAAGAGAATGAGAAAGAGACGGAGGGAGGAAAGCCAAAGGTGAGATACGATCACGTTTCTCAAAATATTCCAACAAATTTAGCAAAATAAAATAAACATTAATCGTTTAATTGAATACGATTAGTTAAATTTACACACCAGTTGAACAATTTTACTCTTACTTTGTTAATGAGAGAAAATTGAACAAAGGTTATTCTCCATTAGTTAAAGTAAAAATCTAACAAGTGTAAGAAAAAATCATTAAAGTGTCGATTGATTTAAAAATCTAATTATGAATTTGACTAAATATTCAAGTTTTCTCTTTGTGATTATATGTATTTCTGTTTTAACCATGACGAGAGCAACAAACGCATCTCCATGGTCAAGTCCATCTACTAGTAATAATACTTTAGATGGGTTTAATGCTACAGCTACGGCTTTGGTTCGTGCTCCATATAATGATAAAGATGACTACATGAAGACCATCAATGAATTGAAAAGTTTTTTGGATCTTCCCCAGGGAAGGTCATCTAATAATCAGTTACAAGCAATGCAACAGGCCTTCGCTTCATCTATTGCCGAAATTGCGGTATCAGAGGCTTCTGATGGCAGAGAGGCTGCGATTAGTTTTATTAAAAAATTAATTGAAGAAATTAATAAAAATAATGATGCCTTGTCTGCAGCTGCTGCGATTACGGCTGCTCCTGGTGATTTATGGTCCGGGGAACTTTGGAGGCTATGGGCAAGGTGTTCCAGTTGGTGCCTCTAGAGGCTATGGTCAGGTGGGTTACGGGGGCTATGGGCAAGGTGATTCTGCTAGAGATGGACCGATCTCGGATTTTAGTCAGATCGATTTATTGTTTCGATTTCTTTGAGAAATCGATCGATTTCGATCTCTAAAATTCAAATTTCGCGGGCAAAAAAAACAAAATTTTTTTCTATTTTTACTACAATCTTTTTTTTTGTTTAACTAATTTCTTAATTTGAAGGTAAATTCATTGTTTAAAATCCGTAATTTTTCGATTTCTGGCCTAAAGTCACATGTTTTTGCAGATCGATCTCTCAAAAGTTGAGATCGATCGATTTCTCTGAACCAAAAATCGATCGCGATCGATTTATAAATCGGATCGGAACATCTCTAGATTCTGCTACTGCTGCTGCTGGTGGTGGTGGTGGTTATGGTAAGGGTGCTTATGGGGATAAGAACACGGATGGAGGCAACGGGAAATGAGCTGGTGGTTGAAAATCTACGACAATAGATGAGAACTCAGAATGAAATGTAATGAAAATTGAGATAAATAAACAATTCGGTTAAAAGTTCAAACAGAATTCAACTTAAAAAGTATCCTCTCAATTGATAGTTAATCGAAGTTAATAAAAAGATTTTGTTGCACGTTAACAAAAAACGACAATCAAATTTCAATAATTTTGACTTGAAAAGAAAAAAATTTTGGTCGGAAAAAGTAAGAGGAGAAAAAGTGGAAACAGAAGTAGTGACTCTCGTGCCAATTAAATGCACCACACACTTTCCTTTCTAATCCGGTAACATCTTAGTTATGATCGCACTGGTGTGGCTTAAATTAGATTAGCCAATGAGAGGCGATCAGTGTAAAATTTGGTTTGATTGTCTCAGGCCCTCCGGGCCTTTTCTTCATTAATTAACCCGTTTACGAGTGACACCTAACCAAACCTAACCTAACCTAATCTAACAAAACAAAACAAGCCAAACAATTAGTTAATTAGTTACATTAATTAGCTCAGTAATTTAGGTTTCAACTTTGCCGCTAACTTAAGCCACACCAGTGCGATCATAACTAAGATCTTACCCAAAGAGTAATATAAGAAGAGACTGCGATCTCCTGAAAAGAGAGCTGTTTGGGGATAAATCTCACGAGAGTCGCCACTGTCGTTTTTCTCTTTCTTTTTCCCTTTCTTTTTCCTGTTTTGATTTCCTCTCTTTCTTTTCTCTTTCTTTTCGCAAAAAAATTGGTTAAAGCTTTTTAAATGTTTTTGAGGTCATTTTTCAACGAGATTTTGGTCTATTAAATGTTAAATTCAAGCTCAATTAAAATCTCGTTGAAAATGGCCTTAAAATCATTCGGAAAACTTTACACAATTTAGTTGACGAAAAGAAAGAGAAAAGAAAGAGGAAAACGACAGTGGCGACTCGCGCGAGATTTATCCCCAAACAGCTCTTTTTGCTGTTGATCGCTCTCTCTTCTTATATTACTCTTTGATCTTACCTCTAATCCTTGATGTAAACAAAAGTCCGTGTGTAGATTCAACTTGAATCTCATCCAATCTAATTAGTGACAATTAATTATTCAAGATATAGCTGAACTTTAAGTAGTAAAAGTTGTGAATTATTCAAACGACTCGACCATTCTAACGATTTTAATGTTGGTGCAAACTAATTATTTGGAAATTGATTTGCCTTTTTTTTACCAGAGGCCTTTACATTTAAATGGATTGAAGAGAGAGTGACATTCAAAGGCTCTCAATCGTTTTAACAACGATGTTCAAATGTAAAAAGTGTCGAAAAGATTTAATCAAATTGGAAGATGTTGTCAACAGTCATGGAGAATCAGCTGATGATGATTCAGTTTCATGTAGTCCCGAGAATTGGTATCTAAATGAAGAGAGTATCAATTCAATTACTTGGATTAAGGATCAAATTGATTGTTCGTTATGGACCAAAGGTAAATTAAGTTGTCCTCACAAATGTGGAGCTCGATTGGGATCATTTAATTTCATTGAAGGTCTTCGGTGTAATTGCTCAAAATCAATTGTTCCATCAGCTCATATAATTAAGAAACGTGTCGATTGTCCATCACAATTGATCGTTGAGATACTAAAATGAAATGAACAATTAAATTTGATATAAACAATAATTAACATTGGAAACCAGGAATACTTTTAATTGTCCATTAATTTCATTTGCATTATCAGGCACAATCATTATAGTGAAATTACAATTCAATTTTACACTTTTTCATCATTGACCTTTTTTTAATTGAAACTAATCAGAATTCAACAATACTTGAAATCATCAATGTTTACTGGTTAATTTAATATCTTAATCACCATTTAGGTAAATAGAGATATTAATAGTTTAATATCATTTAACTGATTATCGTTGATTTAAATTGTTGAACAGATACTGTCAATAATTTATTTGTAACATATTTACTGAAGACAATTAATTGTTGGTTATGTTAATGTCTTTGTTGTTAATTATTGAGGATGTTGCGATAATCAACTTTTTCTGTTTCATAAATGATAATTAATTAAACAATTTTTTAGATTATCATTTGATTTTTTTTTAATTCACTGGGTGTTTTATATCACTTTTACACTTTTAAATAGACAAGAGGTAAGAAGTGATTTACATTTGATAATATTAATAATTAGTAAATCTAAATTGTTACATTGAAAATTGGCAATAAGGCAACTAAGATTTTTAATGATTTTAGGGGAAATCCATCTAATCATATGGTACAAGCAATGCAACAGGCCCTCGCTTCATCTGTGGCCGAAATTTCGTTATTACAGGCTTCTGATCGAAAGGCTGCATTTAGTTTTATTAAAAAATTAATTGAAGATTTTAATAAAAATAATGATGCCTTATCTGCAGATTCTGCGGCTATGGCTGCTCCTGGTGGTTATGGAGATAAGAACAGTAATGGAGGCAACGGAAGATGAGCTGATGGTTGAAAATCTACGACAATAGATGAGATCACAGAATGAAATGTAATAAAAATTCAAATAAATAAACAATTTGGAATAATCGAAGTTAATAAAAAGATTCTATTGTACATTAAATTGTTTTAACAACGATGTTCAAATGTAAAAAGTGTCGAAAAGATTTAATCAAATTGGAAGATGTTGTCAACAGTCATGGAGAACCAGCTGATGATGATTCAGTTTCATGTAGTCCCGAGAATTGGTATCTAAATGAAGAGAGTATCAATTCAATTGAGCTTTTCAGTCTTTTTTTGGTCCAGAGTCTGGTCAATTTGTTTGGCGTGTATGGAACAAGCCTTGAAATGACTATTTTAAATTATTCAATTCAAATTAAACTGACTTTACATTCAATCGCGATAAATAACAATTACAACCTGATATTAATTGTTTGAACAGATTGAACAATTAGTTTAGACCATGGATGATATTTCATTTCTGACGTGACTTGATTTTGAATTGATATTAATGATACCATTTCAATAATATATTTTTATATATTAATAATAACAATCAAAGTAAAACTTTTCGATAAAAATCAAATGAGAGTCCAAACTTTTCTCACAATAGGTTGATATTACTCCGAGGGAAAGCCCTTTTGATCTTTTGACGATAACTGAGGTTCCAAATGATGGTTGTATTTGAACAGAAAATAAGATAAATAAAGTAATTAATTAGATAGTTGAGTTTTACCAGAATCAACTGAACGATTATCTAACTGTTAATAGTTTTATGCAAAACTAAATCAATATTATTTTTTTCTAATTGAATGTACAATTAGTTAATGATATTTGATGAGTTAAAAGGTAACTTCTTCCACCAAACAAGAGTTTATAAATAAAGTTACCTTCGTAATTAACGAAATAAAATCAACATTATCCGTTTAATTGAGGACAATCAGTTAAATTTACACACCCGTTGCTCAATTTTACTCTTACTTTGTTGGGAATCTTCAACTTATTTCATTTTCCATTAGTTAAAGTAAAAATCTAACAAGTGTATCAAAATCATTAAAGTGTCGATTGATTTGTAAATCAAACTATGAATTTGACTAAATATTCAAGTTTTGTCTTTGTGATTATATGTATTTCAGTTTTAACGATGACGAGAGCGCAAAACATATCTCCATGGTCAAATCCAGCTACTAATTTAGATGGGCTTACCCCTGCAGCTTCGGGCTGTGCTCCATGTAATGATGAAGAAGATGACTTCATGACAATCATGAATGAATTGCAAAGTTCTCTGAATCTTTTTAAGGGAAATCGATCTAATCATATGGTACAAGCAATGCAACAGGCTTTCGCTTCATCTATTGCCGAAATTTCGTTATCGCGGGCTTCTGATGGCAGTTATCGAAAGGCTGCATTTAGTTTTATTAAAAAATTAGTTGAAGATATAAATAAAAATAATGATGCCTTGTCTGATACTGGTGCTGCTGCTGTTTCTGCTGCTGGTTGTGGTGATGCTGCTGCTGCTGCTGCTAGTGGTGGTACTGGTGGTGGTTTTGGTGGTGGTACTGGTGGTGGTTTTGGTGGTGGTCGTGGTGGTGGTGCTGCGGCTGCTGCTGCTGCTGCTGCTGCTGCTGCTAGTGGTGGTGGTCGTGGTGGTACTGGTGGTGGTTTTGGTGGTGGTGGTGGTGTTGACTTTGGTCGATGGGATTATGGAGGCCATTGACAAGGTGTTCCATTGCCTGGTTCTAGTGAATGTGGTCAGGGTAACTATGGAGACAAGTAATGGAGGCAACGGGCTGGTGGTGGAAAATCTACGACAATAGATGAGAACTCAAAATGAAATGTAATAAAAATTGAAATAAATAAACTATTCGGTTAAAAGTTGAAACCAAATTCAACTCAAAAAGTATCCTCTCAATTGATAGTTAATCGAAGTTAATAAAAAGATTCTATTGTATTAACAAAAAAACAACAATCAAATTTCAATAATTTTAACTGGAAAAGAAATTTCAAATTTCGAATTATGATCAGAAAATATAAGAGCTAAAAAGTGGATGTTGGGTGCATAAAACACTTTCCTCTGTTTCTCTGGTGCAAACTCAACAACTCTGCAACTTCTCACTGAGAGAGAGAAAAGATAAAGGTGAGAAACAACCAGGGTTCTCGAATAAATATTCCAACAAAATTAACAAAATAAAATTTATAAATCGTCATTTATAATCGTCGTCGTTTATAATTTGTCAAATTTTCGGCGATACAAAAAATTTTGTTTTTCGCGCGGTTTTTTTCTGAAACCTTTTCTACCTTTGACCTTGACGACTTATGTGCATATCAACAAGGTCTATTCTATGGTACCAAACACATATTATCTGAACTTACAAGGCTTTTTTTATTAGACGAAATCGGGAGTTAATAAAAAAACACCCTCTAAATAAATTACTCGGTTAAAAATTCAAACCAAATTCAACTCATAAAGTATCCTCAAAATTGAAAGTTAATCGAAGTTAGTAAAAAGAGTCTGTTGAACGCTGATAAATTTCAATAATTTTGACTCGAAAAGAAAGAAATTTTGATCGGAAAATGTACAGCAAGAGGATAAAAAGTGGAAACATAAGTGTTGACTCTCGTGCTTATTAAATGCATCACAAACTTTCCTTTCTGATTCTTGATGTAAACAAAAGTCAGTGTGTAGATTCAACTTGAATCTCATCCAATCTAATTAGTTACAATTAATTATTCAAGATATACCTGAACTTTAAGTAGTAAAGGTTGTGAATCATCAATCAACTCGACCATTCTAACGATTTTAATGTTGGTGCAAACTAATTATTTGGAAATTGATTTGCCTTTTTTTTACCAGAGGCCTTTACATTTAAATGGATTGAAGAAAGTGTGACATTCAAAGGCTCTCAATCGTTTTAACAGCGATGTTCAAATGTAAAAAGTGTCGAAAAGATTTAATCAAATTGGAAGATGTTGTCAACAGTCATGGAGAATCAGCTGATGATGATTCAGTTTCATGTAGTCCCGAGAATTGGTATCTAAATGAAGAGAGTATCAATTCAATTACTTGGATTAAGGATCAAATTGATTGTTCGTTATGGACCAAAGGTAAATTAAGTTGTCCTCACAAATGTGGAGCTCGATTGGGATCATTTAATTTCATTGAAGGTCTTCGGTGTAATTGCTCAAAATCAATTGTTCCATCAGCTCATATAATTAAGAAACGTGTCGATTGTCCATCACAATTGATCGTTGAGATACTAAAATGAAATGAACAATTAAATTTGATATAAACAATAATTAACATTGGAAACCAGGAATACTTTTAATTGTCCATTAATTTCATTTGCATTATCAGGCACAATCATTATAGTGAAATTACAATTCAATTTTACACTTTTTCATCATTGACCTTTTTTTAATTGAAACTAATCAGAATTCAACAATACTTGAAATCATCAATGTTTACTGGTTAATTTAATATCTTAATCACCATTTAGGTAAATAGAGATATTAATAGTTTAATATCATTTAACTGATTATCGTTGATTTAAATTGTTGAACAGATACTGTCAATAATTTATTTGTAACATATTTACTGAAGACAATTAATTGTTGGTTATGTTAATGTCTTTGTTGTTAATTATTGAGGATGTTGCGATAATCAACTTTTTCTGTTTCATAAATGATAATTAATTAAACAATTTTTTAGATTATCATTTGATTTTTTTTTAATTCACTGGGTGTTTTATATCACTTTTACACTTTTAAATAGACAAGAGGTAAGAAGTGATTTACATTTGATAATATTAATAATTAGTAAATCTAAATTGTTACATTGAAAATTGCACTTTCCATAATTTATTGGAGTGATGTTGTCGTAGTTAATTGTGGTGTGTCCTTTAAATTATATGTTATAATTTACTTGTAAACCTTTGAAAATCTTAATCACAATTGATGTTTCATTATGACAAAAAAAAAGTGAAAGTTAATCATTTGCTTGCCTTTTTTGTTGCTCTCACTCAATATTGCAACAATTAACACACAAAATAATAACACAAATAAACAATTGATATCATTTTATGGTCAACTAACAAAATATTGATTAAGGAAATAGTTATAACTGATATCTAAACATTTTCTGTGTATTAGATTAACATTAAATTGTCAACCTTGTGGGATTGTGACCTGATACTGTCTTTGTGTGAAAAAATAAATCAAATTGGTAAAGATCAACGTTGATTACTGGCTAACAAGTGTAACAATTAGTAAAACAACAGTAATCATAGATATTCAAGAGACAAGGAGAGAGAGAGAAAGAGAGAGATGATACAAGTGTCGGAGAAGACGAAAAAAAGCCTAAGTGAAAAAAACGAAGTAGAAAAATTAAATAAATTAAAAAGACAAATCGGATTAACTACCTTAATCTAAACTCAAGGTGATTAAATAAATAGGAGAAAGGGGTGGGAGGAAGTGGTTGAAGTCACAGATTAACAAGAGATGCAAATTACATTCAAAAACAAATGAATGTAATAATTGTGCTTATGAACATGAGATGAAAATCTCCAAGGTTGACTTGATGTTCAAGTGAATAGCCTTCGGTGTTTTTTATGCCAACATATTCAATTTTGTATCTCTTTTTTTCCTCGTTGGAAATAGTTGATTTGGCTTTTGTTGATTCAACAAAGTTTAGAGAAGAAATTTAAATTCTAATAAGAACTGTTCCTAATCCCTTTTTGATTAAATCATTTGGAATGGTAATTGTCTGGAATCGTACGATCGACGGGTTATACGGAATGGTCACTGTAAAGGAAAACTTTGTTTCCATGAGGAGAGTAGACGACTGTGTATCCCCACGGGTTTTCTGGAGGTGGAGTTGAACTTGTTTGATGAATTGAGGTGAAATCGGTCCTTCCTCACCGGCAGTGTAAAGAGTAAGAATCTTCATGATTTGTGATGAACTGTAGGAGATTAAGCAGACGAAAAAAAGAAATTAGTGAAGTGTGAGATGATGAGCAATTATATTAATAATTTAAATCGACTGAATTTCAAGTTTGAGAGAAAAATATTTACCTGAGTTTGTTGCAAACTTCAACGATTGTTTCAATTGAGCTTTCAGTCTTTTTAGCTTGGAGTAATTTAGTTGCTTGAATAATCGGCTCTAATTTTTCAACTACTTCATTGCAATTGGGTATTTGCTGTTCACGAGCCCATTGTTCAAGTGCTGAAAGATTGAATCTTATTTGCATCGCTTTTGTCCAATGACAAAGGTCCTTTCTTAATAGTAAATTGTTGAGAGCACTTGCACAAATAAAGTAAAACAATTGCTTGAATATTTGATGAATTAAATCTGGCTCGACGACATGAAGAAGTACAATCTTGTGTAGTGTTGATAGTTCACGTATCAGTGTTTCGGTGTGTTTCTCAGTCGGTGAGTTGGGAAGACTATCTTGATCTGAAACACTGGGCCTATTAATAGATGAGAATAGAAAAAAATTAATCAAAATTAATCAAAAAGTTAACTTATTTTCACATAACAATTATCTATCAAATAAACTAACCTTTGTGTGTTAGCTGGTTGAGAATAAATTCCCGATGAGGCCAAAGCTTCATGTTCTAGTATTGCTGGAACAATTAGTGATTGAATCAATTCCTCTGCATGTCTAATTACTCCACTGTAAAGCCAATGGCAGAAATCAGCAAACATTTGACGATATTCACTGAGATCAAAGTTTTTAAGAGATTCATCACAAACACCATAAGTTTCATCGCCTGAATAAACAAAAAGAAAAGTAATTTAGATGGAATTGAAATTTTCCAATTGTTCTGGTGAAAAAAGGCAATATTACCTGAGTATTGACGGATAAATGTTACCATTTTACAACAATTAGCTAACCATAAAACATAATGATCTAGACTATTTTGCTTTTTAACGGTACGTTTAATGGAGATCATGTAATTGTTTAGGAGACTTCGTACCTGGATGAATGAGTATAAATCAACAAAACATATAATTAAATTGGTATCTTATTTTTTCCGTTAAATTAGTTACTATGGCGATACATCTACATACCATTAAATCATCATTAATATGATCAGTGTACCGGACACACATGAAAATGACGAATGCTGGTAAGTGAGGTGGAAATTTGAGAGCGACGTTTGGGTCCAAATTGATGACAACCATTCGCAGGATGAGCGATTCATCTTGTCGATTATATTTGAACATTCCAAGGGAATTTTTAATATCTTCTTGAGGTCCACTGTTCTCTTGATTGTTTTCGCTTTCATCTTGATCACCAAGAACTTTGTGACGAAGAAGTTTCAATCTAAGTGCTTTAACTTCTTCAGTTAACTGATTGCACTTTTGTTCCAGAAGAATTTTCTCCTGAAGAGTTCGATTGCCTTCATTTGATGATCCACATGAATCTAAACTATTCTTTAGTGATTTATAACCTAAACTACTATTTGATCGTAGTGAATCCATTTCTCCTTTCATCTCTTCCTTGGCTCGTTTCTCAATTTCAACCTCTTTCTCTAATTGTTTGATAATTGATTTGAAAGCAGAGAAAACTTCATTCTCGGCAATTGGTTCACGAATACTTGATTCTTGTCCAAGAACAATTGTTTTCAGGTTGGTTCGCTCTTCTCGAACTCGATCTAATTCTGATTGTAAGGTTGCACATTGAGAAGAAAGTAAAGCGGCAGCAGTTGAAGTCTCAGAGCTACTTGAAAAGTTTGCAAACGCTTCTCTCATTTCTTGATTTTCGTGTTTCAATTTAGCGTTTTCTTGTTCGAGTTCAGATAAACGCATCATAAGGGAAACTGTCGATATATCAGGTCCCTTTTCTTCATAGAAAGATATTTCATCGCTAGATTGTAGTTTCTCTTCCAAAGCGGAATATTTTCGTAAAAGTTGTTGGTGGGCAGTTTTTTCGGACTCTCTTTCATCGAGAAGTATTTTGCGTTCTCTTTCGAATTTAGCGACCAAAACTTTCTCCTTCTCTGCGAGCACCTTTTCAAGGGCTTCAGCATCGAATTTGGCCTCCTCTTTTTCTTGGGTTTCTTTAAGTTCACGAATCTCTTTATCTTTAAGTTTGATTTGTTCTTCAAGTTGATTAACTCGTTTACCAGCCAATTCCCATTCCACTGTAAACTTTTCAAATTCCATTCCAGTTACAGTTAATTTATTTTGGAGATTTTTAATTTCCATTTCAAGTTTATTCTTTTCATTCTTTAGATCTTCAATCTCTGCGTCTTTCTGGTTGAATTTAGTTCGTTCCGAAGTGATAGCTTGTATCTTTTGTTGTAATTCGATAATCTTGATTTCTAGACCCTTGTTAAGCGCTTTAACATGTTCAACACTTCGAGCTTCAACTTTGAGTCGTTTCAGCTCACGTCGAGCTAACCAACGGCGAACTTGACATTGGGCAAGAACAATCTTTTTACGAGTATCTTGGTATTTTCTTCGGGCAAGAAACATGCGAATATTTTTCTGTATAACGATTGCCGCCAAGTTTTGCTTGATAAGTAGAAACTTTCTCCGAGCAAGTAAACCACGTCCATATTTTTGAAGTCCAAAAGCCGATTGTTTAAGTTTAAGATACCGTTTACGTGAAATATAAGCTCTCCAATTGGATTGTATGATAACCGCTGCTTTAGTACACCGTAAATGTTGATAATGACGACGAGCAAGTAAACCACGGGCCAAGCTTTGTAATCTTAGAACAGAAGATTTTATCTTGATATAACGTCGACGACACATCCAACCTTTTATATTTCGTTGTAAGATTATTGCACATTCTCGAAGCCTTTCGGTTCGTATTCGTTCAAGTAAAGCGACCTGGCCAGAGCGGAAAAAGATCTTCGTTTTACCACACTGGTAAAGTGTTTGTTGTAAGTGATTCGCTGTTTCATGTCCAATCCGATATTGAGAATAATATTGTTGTTCTAAACAGTAAAAACAAAAAAGATGAATTGATGAGCAACTCGAAACTCAGATAATCTTAATTGGTTCAGCTAAACTGGATTAAGTAATAGATAAAAAGATAAGTTAATTACAATATAATGAGAAAATTTTTACTCACCATAAACAAGTTTAATGATCTCCATACAAAGCGCTTTAACTTCAGGTGATGTTGTTGATCCTGCTCGAACCAATTTCCGTGGACATGGGACTGGCTCTAAAAAAGTTGAATCAACAAAAAATTTGAAGAGGACGATAGATTGATTAATATCCAATTAGGGAAAAATTCAAGTTGAAATTGATATTGTTGATGTTGTTTATGGTTAACTATTGGCACATATTTTGACAGACAAATTGACAAAATCACGACGAGGTCAAATTACCTGCTTCAGATGTTTTCTTTGATTTGTTGACACTGAAAAGTAAGACACGATATCTGGAGGCGAAATCAGAGTAAGTCCAGCGAGATGGGAATCCATTAGAACTAATTTTAATTGTCTCAAGAACACCACAGGCTCTCAGTTGTTGAATTGCACGTAAATTTTCAAATTCAAAGGCTCCCTTGTTGTCATTTGGTTTAATACATCGTATATAATGAGGAGTAGTAGCATTTAAGGTTTTCATAAGAGCAGCTAAAGATTCACGGAACTGTGAGCCAACTGTTGCTTTGGCAATTTTCTGTTGTCGTTGTTGTTGTTGATTCTGAAAAGGAAAAAAATCAAATATAAAAAAAAGAGAATAAGAAAAAAAAAGGAATACAAAAAAGATGAAGTGCGAGAAAGAAGATGAAAAGAGACAGGTAACAAAAAAGAGCAATTTTCGTTATTAATGATTGGTTAAAGATGAAATATTGAAATGATGTTCATCTCTTTTGAATGAAAAACTCACTGCAGTAATTTTAAGTTTCTGTCCTGGTTTCTGAGGTGCCGAGTCAATACCCGAATCTTCATTGAACAGAGGTCCAATTATACTTGACCGTTTAAGTAAATCAATTTGCTCTTCCCAAACAGTGTCACGATTTTTTTCAAGAAAACCTGGTCAGGTGAAAAAAGAAAAATTCATAATGATCAATAATTAGTATTGAATAGCAACAGAACAGGTAAGAAATTGATGAAAAAGTGATAAGAGAGTGAGGGAGGGAGAGAGAAAGAGAGATGTTCATGTAATAACAGTTCACAATTTCGATTAATATAATTATTACGCTCTTTTTTCTCTTTCTTTCGATTTCTTGATTAAAACGAAAAAAGTTGCCTAATGACAACTTATTGATTATAAATTGATAAACAATGATCAAAATGATTAATACCATCAGCATGATAGACAACTTTATCGGCGAAATGTTGAATTATGAAGGTGTTTCTGGAGCCAAATTTAGGTTTCTGAAAAATTGGTCCGATCGTTAGTTGAGCGTATAACTTTGATACCCAAGTTTCATCAGTTCCTACGCAAATGGGTGGGAAACGGAACGATTGAGATGATAGAGAAAAAGAGAGAGAAAAAAAAGGATAAAGATTAATAAATATAACACGAAAATGTGAATAAAGAAATCACGATTTAAAGAGGTAGATTACGATACCAAGATTTTTTATCTTCTTAGCTGATTAAATCTACTTTTGTTTTTGAAGTTTAGATGAAATAATAATAATAACAATAATAACCTTTTGGCATTTTACATTCTTCATCTAAAAGATTGAGGATTCCAATTGGTTTAGCTTCAATGAGATCAATTACCGGTTGATTGTCAGTGAAAGTTATGAATTGCCAATCAATTCCTTCCCTAATATATTCTTCTTGTTCCAACTGTGAAATGAAACAATTGAATTGTAATTATTGTTTGTGGGTGAGAACATTGAATTGATGCGAAAATAAATAAGTTTTGTTTAAATAAAAGTAAAAATGGATTGGGCAATAATAAGTTTGATTATTTTGTTTGATTGTGCAATTTAATTTTACCTTGAATACGTGTTGATTGAATTGCTGTTGAAGAGCTTCATTTGCATAGTTGATGCAAAATTGTTCAAAAGAATTTATCTCGAAATGTTCAAACCCATAAATATCTAAAACACCAATGAAAACATTGGAAGACGAATTTTTCTCGGATGGACCTTAAATTGTACGATCACCAATTGATTATGAAAGGGCAAACAATACAGAGATAAAAAAGACACAATGAAAGATTAGCAACAATTTAATCCATCAGGTTGGTTAATTATCGGCGAACGCCCATGAAAAGTGAATAAAATGATTAATTGTAAATACCTAGAGCTTTGTTGATTAGAGCAACAATCCAGAGAAACATTTTCTCGTAAATGAATTTGGCCAAAGCATCTCGACCATATTGAGCTGAATTTTTACTAACTGGAGTAACAATTACTTCTGATCGACCCATTCTGATAACCTTATTGGTTAACCATTTGACGGCCGTTGCATGATCAAGATCAAGAAGTTCACAGAAACTGATTAGATGAGGATCGTCTAGATCAACTGTACATGATTCATCATCAACTAGACAGAATTGAATGTTTCCAGCATGAAGGACAGCGGCTATTATTTGAAATATTGTCGATTGTTGTTTATCAGTGAATCCTAAACATTGCATTGCCTCATAGAATCGACTAATATCATCACTTGGATTAGTTTGCACGTTCCCTAAATAGGAGAATGAGTATTCCTCGTTAAGTCTAAGATAATCCATGTTACCCGTTTTAAAATGATTGCACAATTGATAGAAGATGTGAAAATTTCGTTCCCCCTCATTTTGCCAAGAGACACGAGATTTTTCCAGTAAGTAGGTTCTCATATTACCACCGATGATTGATCTTGTTTGCGGATCCATCATGATTTGAATGTATTTACCAAATCGAGAGGAATTGTCATTACGTGTTGTTTTAGCATTACCAATGGCTTCCATGATTGGATTACTTGCAAGAACTTTGTTCTCAATGTTTGATGAATGACTACCAGCAATGGAAGCAAAATATCTCATGGCAAATTTGGCGGAAACGGTTTTACCTGTAACAACGAGAGGGAATAGAAAAGTTTACATAATAAAACAACAATTAGTTGGTGAGAAAATGTAATTGAAAAATTAAAGGAAAGGAAGATTTATGAAGATAAGAGAGAGAGAGATGAATGGATTAATAAAAAAGTAGGAAATAATGATAACACAACCATTGTAAAAGAATGCTAATAAAAAAGGTTCACATAAAACGGATGCTAATCATTATCTTCAAAAGTAAATGATCAAATGATTTTGGTTAATTGAATGTTCCTTGTTATTATTACCTGCACCACTTTCTCCACTGACGATAATCGATTGATTACAAGATTCTCTTTCCAATTTTGAATAAGCATCTTCAGCAACCGCGTAAACATGAGGATCCAATTGACTGGTTCCCAATGACCTATGATATGTTTTAATTGTTTCCTCTCCATAAATGTCAAGCTCAGCAAATGGATTAACAGCAACCAAAACGATACCACACCAGGTATAAATTGACCTTTGATCTAAGAAACGTACGCGTAGGTTATAAAGAACTGCTGGCTCATGAAGATAAGAGAGACTCGTTAAATCGTTAGCACCAATTAGAACATCTGGATTACGAAGTGGAGGCAATTTATCGACACTTTCGATAGTGAGAGTTATCTCCTAAACAATGAAAACGAGAGAAAAAGGGTAAAAATGAGATAGAAAATTTGTTTGAAAATAAAACAACAAACAAAAAACAAAGAGGGCAAATGAACAACAAAAGGAAAGGAAAGAAAAAGAAAACGATTACTCAGAAAACAGGTAACACCAAAAAAGAGAAATGAAGAGAAAGTAAAAAAAAATTGTAGCAGAAAAAAAAAAGAATAACAAACCTGGTGATCTTCATCAGTGACGATAAGAATCTTATTCTCTGGGACATAATTTTCTTTGATAAAGGCTAATTTCCATACTTGACCAGTATCCGGAGTCCAAATTCGTGAACCTTTGGTGTAAAGATCGGGAAAAACCGATGAGGTCATAATTAAACCATAAAAACTACAATTAAGGAAAAATAATTTAACTCTTCATTCAAATGAAGATTTTGAAGAGTGAAGTGAAAAGGGGGCGTTTCCTTGACCAAAAATTCTCTTCTTTTTTAGTTACCATTTGTTCCAACAGATGGCGTTCGATAGAAAAACTAGTGACATCTATTGGAAAAGAATGAAACTTTTGACCAACGAAATTAATTTTTCGTTGTAATAATAATATTATTATTCTGTGATTGTAATTATTCAAGAATTGATAAGAATTTAATTGTTGAGATTTTTTTCGTTCTTTATTATTTTTCAAAAAAGTTTGTTATTTGTTGTTATTATTACAAAGAGACCATGAGATTTGGATTAACATTTTTGTTTCAATTTTTATATAAATGAGATCAGAATTGATTGAACTTTTTTTTTTCTTATTCTTTATGATTGATTGTTTTTTTCTCGATTGTTTCTGGAATTATTTTGATTCCGTTTTGTTTTTTGCCTCTTCTACCAATTAGTTGATTATATGATTTAGAACAGGTTATTTTCGTTATTTACGTGAACTTCATCTCTATAAAGTGGTATCGGTGTTGGTGGACCAAATATATCGAAACAATTATCGATGAGATATTCAATTACCAGAGTTTGAAGGGAATTGTCAAATAACATTGAGAAAACATTTCCATCAATATCTCTATTAAATAAATGAGAAAAAAAATTAGAGTTTTAATCAATTCTATGAAATGGAAAACAATTAGTTTAAAAGTTAATTTACTTCATTCGGAAAAGTGTTGGTGCAAAAACAAGACCAAGATTTTTGGTTGACATTTGATTGAGTTCTTGATTGTTGGCAATGAATTTTAAATGGTGCATTAAATAGGCCAAAGTTTCCTTGTGATTTTTGGGCAATTTTTTAACGATCTCTTTAAGATCATTAATTATCTCTGCTCGTTTTTCTGTACTCTCTTCGGTAGCTCGATGTTTCTTGGCCACATTCATGAACTGTGAATATAAGTCACTGGTGAATATTGGTTCGGGAAGCTATTAAAGGTAAGAGAAAATTAATGAATTGAGAGGATCTAAAATTAGAACATTTCGAACAACAGTAAAAAGATTTACCATTCGAAAATATTCCTTAAGAACATGACCAATATCGTTTGGATTTGTATCACTGAAGTCAATCAGGTAAGGACTATTCTCGAGACTTCGGACAAACTTTTGGACTCGAGAGACAACACCGTTAACCCGATAGATACCTTTAATACTGTAGCCACGTCTTTCGATCTCGTGGCAACATTTGACAACTATGAATGGTACTGGATCCGTTGAGGTGGTTAAATGAACCCCGAAAATGGGGCTTACCCGTTTTGGAATTGGATTACGAGCACAAAGGATTATCATCGATCGAAGGCATTTATTATGAGAAAAAAGAAGGCACTGTACAGTCGATTGCAAAGAAGAAGAAGAAAAAACAAATGATAACAATTAACCTTCCAATTAACTTAAATTATCTTATTAACCATCAATCGACAATTAACAAACAAGTTATGCAATAATTACTGTCTAATTGCGGATAAAAATAGTTATTTATTTTATCAAAACTTTGATAAGTTTTCTTACTTCAATACCTTTCCCAATCAATTATCTGATTGATTGATTGTGATTAGATGATTTGGAAATAGTAACAAAATAAAATACTTTTAAGAAAACACCTTAATTGCTAAATAACAATCAATTAATCATCAAATATTTTCGTTGGTTATTGAAACTGAATTACAGTTAACATGATGATGGAGGAAAAAAAATCAAACCATAAGCAAAAACAATCAACTTGCAATTGAACAAAGTAATTTATTATAATCATAACTGTCAACTTTAATCAAGCAAACTTTCAACAACAATCATTATCAATATTATCATCAACAATTTAAACCTCAATCAGATTTGAGTTGTGACCCAATCAAATAATAATGATAATTTCTATCACAAAACTAACTCTCAGCTGATGATGAAATAAATCAACTGATTGTTTACCTTTATCAGTTGGCCATCTAATTTTAGTTTGGTGGTTGACATTGTAATCATAATGTATAACCCAGATGAAACTGTTAATAGAAAATAACATTTTCTCATCGATTATCATCATCATCAAGATGAATCATAAATATTTGACCAATCAAATGTTCAAATTGACCCTTAACCTTTTTCGAGTAAATTTCAGGAAATATCTTATATAATCTACCATGAAACTGATGATGACGAAGCAATTTATTGATTACAAAGAGATTCAATCGTGGGCTCAATTCAATTTACGATTTTCAACTTGTCTTCGCATCGTTTACGTTTTTTTTCACAATCAGAACTTTTTCTTGCCCCAAAATCACGTGACTATTTGTTGATTGTTAGTACAAATAATTTGACATAAATAACAATTCAATCAACGTAAATAGTAATTGGTTTTGATGAGAGAGAGAGAGAGAGAGAGAGAGAGAGAGAGAGAGAGGTTGGGAGCTCATTAGAATCCTTTTGCCTTAATTGTTTCAAATCAAATTATCCTAATTTTGGCTCAACCTGACTGAGCCTTCAACTAAATTAAGAGTGATAAAAATTGTTTATCGATTAGAAATCAATACATAATCATTTGAATGAAATCCAAATGTAGATCATGAAAATTGTTGATTATTGACAATACTAATTGTTTCTGCCTAAAGCAATTTAAGATTGATTTTTTTTTCCATTACGATTTATTTTCTGGTGCTATTGACAAAATCAACTATTGTGTCAATATGAATTGTCTACATTTAAATGATAGTCAATCAACAAACTGATACAAGAAGAGCCTAAAAATGATTTATCGTGTTAACTGTCAACAAACAAGTGAACAATTTAAAATCCCCAATTGATTGTCAAGAGTAATCATAATAATAAAATTGTAATTCAATATTGTAAATCCATTATAATCTGTTGTGAATCAATTTATTCAAAATTAATTGTTACCAGGGATTAAATCATAAGCCATTATTATTATTAATGAATAGATAATCAAAGAAAATAGATTCACATGATGTTGATGATGATGATTAAAAATTACGATAATATAATCATATTATCACCATGATGATTAACAATTTAAACAATATTATTATCAAAGTTATCATGTTACCTTTAGGATTGGGTGTAAAAACTGATCACACAAAGTAATCAGCTAATTGTAAACATGATAGATAATGAATGTGAAAGAAATTGATTAAATACTTGAACAAATCAACAGCAACAATTTAGTTGATTTGTTTATCATTTCAATCTAATTTTGTACGATAACTGAATCAATTTATATGAGAAACTATCGGATAAAAGTTCATTGAATTGAATTGAATCTGTGATATAAAACTGATGAAATTTTAAGAAAAAAAACTTTTACATAAATAAATTGAATCTTATGTTCAATTGGATTTTATAATCAAATTGTTACAGACTAATTATCATGTAAGTTAATTGCAATTAAAGGAAAGTGAAAATCAAATTATCCTACCAGCTAATGAAATAAATGATATAAATACAAGAATCCTGATTAATTTTACAATTAGCAAAATTTAGTTTAAACAATTGAATGAGAAATGATCAATTTGTTAAAACTAACGGTTAATTGTAAGGTACACAATTAGATGATAATGATTATCATCAACAGTTTCAATGATTAGTAATCATGATTAGCATGAATAAAGGGATTAACTATTAGATAATTTTTACATATAAACTATTGATAACTCCCATGGTGATATTATTATGAAGTTACAGTTAATCCCTCTAATTGATTCAAGTGAAAAAAAAACAATTTACTTTAGTGATTAAGATTAGATATGATTATTATTATGAATAAATGAATTGGTAACAGTTAAAAGAAACGATTGGTTAATTAAACAACAATTAAGGTCAAAGGCTAGGGTTTTATGTAATAACTTGAGGAGGGAAAAAATTGATTATACAATTTAAATTTGTATTGATTAATCATCTGAGATGTGAATTGAATGATTAGATGAACATGATTATTGCTAAGCAACAAGTTTGTAGATGAAAAATAATTTCAATAAGATGAAATTTTCTGAATAACTTATCATGAACTTTATCACCATGAATTATTTTTGAAACAAACTATTGAAAATCAATACAAAAGTAAACATCATGTTTTTTTTTCACAATGAAATTTGATTCATTTTAGATAATATCAATTACTATTTAATTTAATTCAGTTCGGTTGAAAACAAAATTGCCAATCCAATCAGAATTTGTGATTAATTTTTTCACTTCCTAATTGATTGATTAATCTTCAAGCATTATTATCAAATCACAATTGAACTAATAACAATGTTTGGAGGATAAAAGTGATTACCAATAAATGGATATTATCATGAAAGGTTGAATGGTCAATAGGTTAAAGAGCAAGCAAGTTGTTACTCTTTACAACAAATAGATGACCAGTGGTCACTCATTCACTTACCTTTTCACATTTGTAACCTCCTAGATAAATGTAAGTATCACAAGTGCGACATTTTTCAAAAACGTAACTGAAGATTCGAGTGAAACTGTGAGTCCGAGCGGCTCTTGACCAGCGACGTTTCTTACGATCAGCTGAATGAAAATCGATAAAAAAAGGAATAAAATATTCAATTAAAATCTCAGGAAAAAAACTCGCCTAAGAATCAGATAACCATGAATACGGAAATTGTAACAACTGAACAATTTCACCACCACCAGAAATGAACAAAACCTTTTCATTATATTGGTTGACATTCAATTAAATCATCACCCTGAACATTATATTGTTTCAATTGATTTTCATGAAAAAAAAGTCTTATTATTACTCAGTTTATATCATGAAAGTGAAAACATGATGATACAAAATTCTGAACTTTTCGTTGTATCGAATATGAGTTTAGAACTTTTTTTTTTCCATATCTATTAATATGTTCTAATACAATTGTCTCGATCAATATTTAACATCCAGATATGAAATTTTCCATGTAATCATGAGGTTTTCACATGATAACATAATGAATATCGGATGACATTTATTTAAATTGGTGAATACGATTGTTGTTATTTTTTTTGTCGTTTGATTTAACCAGAAATTGATTGAAATTGGTTTCACAGTTAATTGCTATTACCGAATCAGATTAATTACATTTAAAGTATAACATCATTGATTAAGGCTGATAATTGATGAGTTATTCAATCTAATATGCTAATAATTGAAGCGACTCTGATCGTGTTAATATTAATGATGATTAGATAATTAATATAATCATACAATTAATGATAATCAATTTTTCATCTCAACTATCGAGCTTCTTGTTATGAAAACATTGAGATTCCTTTAATCAAGTTGATTATATGTACATGAGGTTTCATGGTGAGGGGATGATGATTAATGATTCTCATAATCAAACTAATGGTAATTTGATTAATATGAAATATCAATTGAAAAGGGAAAATATTGTAAATTGATTAATGATTATTTTCATCTTTGATTTGGTAATTTGCTTTTTTCGTTCAATATCAACACTTTTTTTTCCTCTTATTTTTACATTTGTTTTAATATTTACAAAGGAAAAAAAGTTTTTTTTTTCAAATTTGATTCAAGTTCTTACCTCGAACTGGATGTTCATCTCCTGGTGTGATTGTTATATCACTAAACTCGGAGGGAGTTATCTCACCGGAAAGGGATTCCACACCGGAACTCCTACTGGTACATGAACTACTTGATGTTTCAGATTCAAGGTAATAACTTGAGGTTGGTAAGGGAAGTGAAAGTTTCTTTGATTTCTCATTAAATGATCCAGTACGATGAAGACCTAATCATGAATGAAACAAATGAACCAAAATTAACATGATAAATTCACATTCTAATTGAAACAATTATCAATTCAATTCAATTCAATGTAACTTCCAAGATCATTATCGTTTACAAAAACAACAGAGTGAAAGACAAAGAGATACAAATAACTGTCTATGTATTTTTATCTTATATTAATTTACCATGAAACCAAATTCTGTAAATAGGTTAATAGCTCAATATCTGCATCCAATTAACTTTGATTAGTTAATTTGTTTTTTTTTCTTTCACTCGTTCATCTTTTCATTTAATGTAAAAGTTTTAAACATAATCAAGTTAGTTGATTGTTACACTATTGCGGAAGAGATTCATTTTTTTTGTATCATGTAAATTATCATTATCATGATACTTTGAGCTTAATTTTCTGAGTCCATTTAATGTTAACCCAGAAAATAACCAATGTCACACCCACAGGTAACCTTAATTTTAATCATCCACTGATTTAGATTGATTTAAGGTAGATGAGGATAATGATTATGAAGCAATTGATTTACCTTCTCATCTTACACTTATCAAGATGATTTATTGATGATTAGGAGCCTTGATATCATCATCATCATTATCAATGAACATGAGATGATAATTGATGCTTTTATCATTTAAGACAAAATTATCATCATCAATATCGTAATCAAGGTTTACCTTATTTTCAGGTATTTTTGTTTTATTATTAGTTTGCTATTCTGATAATTGAGATAGAGATTTGATTGTCTATCAATTGGTAATCATTTGGAGTTTAATTATTTTTGCATCTTTCAAGATTCCTATTGGACAATTATCTTGAGGCTAATTGTTTTGAAACTTTTTCTATGCTTTTTATCAAACTAATGATGGTATAAAATGACAATAGTAAATAATGACAGTAATCATTTAATGTTATTTGATGCAGAAAGGGATAAATGTCAATCTTAATCTTCATCTTGTACTCTTTTTTTCCGCATCCTCATCTTGAAGATGCTATTAATAAAAAGATAAATCATCAATATCAACAGAAGAAAATTTCTTCTCTCTCTCTCTCTCTTCCATAGTTCATCATTTACTCCTCGTTATGGATCACGTAAGTTCTGAAGAGTATGCAAAAGGTTTTGCAATGAGATTTAATATGTTTACAGAGATAAAATTACTCTAAAAAATAGAGAAAATTTCAACAAAACAGAATCAATTCTAATGAGACCTCAGACATTTTTAGAAGTGTAAAATCACCACAAGGACTTAAGTACGAAAAATAGGAATTTGTTTTCGAAATAACTTGTGAATAGAGAATCGCAGATTCAAGTACAATAAAGCGGTCGATGCATCGAGTTGAAAGAATTTTTTCGATGCCAAGTTCGACCAGGTCAGTTTTAGCGCTTTTGTATGGACAAGCATTTAATACGTTGTCATGAAGGTGAAAAGAGATGAACGTTAATGATAAAAAATGGTTACAATTACCATGGACGAAGTTGAATCTCTATTAGGTTTTTTTATCTCTACTTGTTACAGGAAATTAAGCAAAAATTGAGCTAAATCCTCCAGGAAATTCATTTTTCCAGGCATAATTAGGAAAGGGAGTTGGTAACATGGTGATGAAAAGAGTGATGATAAATGAATGACATTCATAACAGAGAAAGAGAGTGAAAAAAAAGTTCTGAACAAAACTCAGAACTTTTTTTCCTTTTCGTCACCTTTACAGTTACAATTACAATTCCATAACCATACAGGGTTAGATTTTTTTTTGTCTTCTCATTACGATAAAATTAATATGCCTAAAAGGTACATTTCCTTATAATACCTTAACCTTTTTCAATTAATAAATTGTTCAGGGTGAAAATCTGATTGCAATGTTGCTTTGTAGTTTAGTAATTGGATTAAGAAGCTAATGTTTATTAACTTTCCACCATCATATTGAAATTGGAATGATTAAAAATTGAAACTGATTGATTAAACTGAATTGTCGGATCGACCCTGTCAACGATTGATTGACATTCTAATAGTATTGATCGCTATTAATTACCATTAATGACTATTAAATCAGTTTAATATTATATTGGAAAGGTTGATTGTATTTTTATTCATAAGGCTATTTATCAAATCTACTCGTTTGATTGATTAGTTTAACTCAATTTCAGTGTTTATTTTAGCAATTTACCTTTAACAATTTTCTGTAGCAATCAGTTGATGATAATAATGTGATTAGCTGACAAAGTTATTTTTAGATTGATTAGTTTGATTCTCTCACAATCTTGACGATTAACTTGATTAACTCTGTTTCCAATTTTCAATCAAAGTGAAATGTTATTTAACAGCAATAGGATGAACCCTCAAAGTGACAGATAAACACTTTGCTTTAATGGTGATAATTAAAAGTCCTAAGAATCATTAGCATCCTCATCTTCATGGTGGTGATGCTATTGAACAACGAGATAATCAAAGAAACTGAATAATTTGATGAGTATCTACAAAAGGATGATGATGATGATGATGATGAGAAATGATGATAATAATTGATATATAAAAATAGAAATTTTCACCAGTCATGATAAAGGGTTGATCCAAATGAATGGTGAGTTATTATTCTGGTGCATAATTATCACAATGGATTCTTGGTAATCGGGTGTTGATTTAAATTTATTTTCCCCTCTTGTTCTGAATTAATGCTGATTAAGTTCTGATGATCAAGCTCATGTTTAACATGAAGAGGAAAAATCTTCCATGTAGATGATTCAAAGATGGTTGATATTGATAAGTGGGAGTTGAAATGTCAAATAGACACACAAAAGGATTTCCATGAATATCATGAGTTCCCTCAGTGAATAATATCACATGCAAATCAATCAGAGTGAAATAGAGAGAGAGAGACAGAGATTTGAATTAATTACAATACAAAATACAAATAGTGTAACAATCAAGATAAATCAACATGGGACAACTTCAATTGATTCTAATGGCCACCAGAATAACAATACAGAAGTGAAAGCAAACTTTGTAATCAAATACGATTCCCAATTCACTGATATTACTTGTTTTCAATTCTGATTCTTTCACTTAATCTGATAATTTTTTTCAAACCTTTAACATGTTGTAACTTAACCGATAATGATTATCAAATCTAATAATAGTCCTAGAAGATTAAAAAACCTCAATGTAACCAAAGGATTGAGAAGAAGCAAAAAAAAATCGTGTGTGACCTAATCTAATCTTGGTGAATCTTTTGATTTCGTGATTACCTTTTTTTATCATGATCAAAATCAGTTTATCAAATGATGATGTAGATTATGATGATGATGAGGGATGATAACAAAGGTAAAATCATACCTGAAGATGATAAAAAGATTTATCTAAATAACAACATGGTAAATATCATCGAGTTGTTATCCTACGGAGAAAAGAAACCGATTAACTCAACTATTGATGCAGAAATTAGAGTGGTTTTTATGCAAAAATGATGATAAATAGGAAGATAAAGAGGAAAATGTAAATAGAAGTGAGAGAGAGAGAGAGAGAGAGAAAGTGAATCCTTTTTTTCTCATCTTCTTAATCATCATCAGAAAAACGATGATGAAATTTAGTATAATAGGTTTACCTTGAAGAAAACTCATTCCAAGTATCTTTCCATATCATCACGTTATTTTCTTACCTTGACAACTACAGAAAAAGAAATGAAGACGACGAAGAAAGGAAGAGAATATAATTCAAGCTCATCTTCATTGAGAATTTTTTTTTTTCCTTCTCTTTCATGGGATGAAAAGATATTCAAATGATTTGATGGTGAAAAATAACAATGAAAAAGAGGAAATATTAATAGAAATGAGATAAGATTTTGAAAAGAAACAAAAACTTGTGAGTTGGTGAAAGTAAAGTCAACAAGGAAGGTAGATGATGATGATGATGCTAAAGGTATGAGATGGTTGAATCAAAATGGATCCATGATGATAATGAAAGAAGATCAAGTTGATAATGATGATGATAATTGGACAAAATGGTAAAAAAAAAGGATTGATCTACTTATGTGATGATTTACCAACGAGAAAGATATTATTATTATCACGATTTCAACTCATCATCGCAAAGAGATATTGTTATTATCACCATGATGTAATAGATGATGAAGATAAAAGTGATTATCATCCCAATAATGATAATGTTATCTTCTTCTTGATGATGGAAGATAAATAAAAATATAATTTAGGTTAATCATCCTCTGGTTTTTAGGTAATCAAGATAATCTCTCATCTTCAGTGTGATATATTCCTGGGTTAATCACCATCTTCATGATAATGATCATCATGATGATCATCATCTTCATTAAGGATAATCTCACAACGCCCTTTTTTTTGAAAAAACTGTCAGATTAAATTTTCTCAATTAATCCAATTGATACAATGTAAACAATCAGGAAGAGGTTGAAATCATTCAGGATATTGATTGTCGTTTGCTATACACATTATGATTGTTGATTGTGGTCAGTTAATTACATCAAACTTGAATGAATTACTATTCAATTGGCGAGAAAAAGGATTTGAAGTTTAATTGTTTTCATTGTTTTCGGGTATCAAGTTAATTTAGTTGAAAGATTCACTCATAATTAGTTGATCAGTTTAAATGGTTAAATCTATTATGAGATTGTATTAATAAGTAAAACTTTTTAAAGTATTAATAAATTATGAGAATAGTAAAGTGACTGTAAACAATTAAGTTCAATAGGGTAATTTTAATTGCTCTTGTTCAATTAATTGTGATATTTAGATAATCAGTTAATCAAATATGACAATAGATTTTAGTTTATTCATCATCTTAATATTAACCCTTGAAAGACAATCAAGTTAAACCTCCTAAAGGCTTCATCTATTTTGTCAACCTTTTCATCCTCTCATCATTTGTTAACACTTTTCCTTAATCATCTTCTCATCATCTCCATCATTATCATCATCATTATCATCTACATTTGCCTTAAGGTTTCAACAAGGAACACACATCAAC